TCTTTTGCGGTCACTCGATGCAACGATCCATCTTCTTGTGTCCTGCACCGTGATCGCCGTCGAGGATGCGGAGCTTGTGATTTTGATCTCGTTCAAGCGAACGAACCTTTCACTTATTACTCCATTGCTTTTCTATGCATTTTGATTAGAAAAAACGAAGAAAAAGATGAAAAAATGCAAAAAGAGATTTACCAGAGAAAGATGTATGGAACGTTTATTGATTAGGCTTCTGGTATGAGTATGAAGAACTTGATTGCACGTGTTCCTTAATGAAGTGTTATAGGAATATTTTTCCATAATATTATTTTTGCAACTTGTGTAAATTACTATTTATTGTTGTTCTGAAATTAATTCATTTCAGTCACTATCTTATCAAGTGATCCACCTTCTCTATTATTTCACAACATCTGCTGTGCTATAATAAATTTCTTAGTGATATTATCAGAAAAATTATCCTGCGATTACATTAATTGAAGGACCAGGTAACGTGGTGTTGCATCCAAGCAATTTTCTACGACATTTTCTTACATGACCAGAATTGTTCAAGCATAACCATATTCATCTCTTATTACCCGTTTACACTATCTCATCCATCACTTTCATTTACGAGGGCAAAGGGTATTTGTTATCTATGAATTTCTAAGTAACACGTGGTCATAGGTCATTTACGTTAGCCCGTTTGCCGGAAAATGTCCCGTGTCTCATTGATTTATATTTCTTTCTGTATCTGAGAATCAGTTACGCGAAGAATATAAATTCTTACAGAAGTAAAAATTTTCAATAGAAACAAGAAATGTATGTTTCTTCATTCTGGCATTTACATCGTTCACCAATTAAATCTTAATAAAATAAAATTTCCATATTCATTAGACATTAAAATTCTTTGATAAAACAATCTTGTCAAAGGAATAAAAAGAAGCATTTTAATCCTAGAGTTTCATGGACTAACTTGGTACATGTTTAATTTGCATTTACCTCTTCTCGAAGTGCAGTGATTCGCTACCGTAGTGCAACATGTGTATGCAATGTCGAATTACCATACAATCGTAAAATCATGCATACCTTGCCTCCCATTAAATCACCAATAATCGAATGTCGAATACGTAACTCGAAAAACGAATCGGTTGAAATAATCGAGATAGGAAAAAGTACAACGAACACAGAGTAGGCAGATAAAGTTATAATACAAACGCGATGCAGTTGACCTGACATATTGGTAACAATGCTAGGCGTGTCACCGGTGTGTTGCAACTAATTCTAACAATTATCCTTTGTATTAACCCACCTATTCATCAATAGAACATCGAGGAATTTTTTTTTTTCGTAACAACTTGATAAAAATTAAAAATTTGATGTAATTAATAAATAATGAAAATATAAAAGTATCTTCGTTTTATAGAAAGGTACTTTTAAGATCGACGCCCGTGAGCACTGCTCGTGTCTGCACGTGCACGTTCCTCGGCAGATAACAGTGTGCACATGCATAATATTGAACGTCACGTATATAGGTGCATTTCATATCCACGTTGCATGCAACTAGTTTTGCAGCCGGTCGTCAGCACGAAGATGTTTTAAATGTCAAGGCGGGAACACGGTGGAGTTGTCCTAGTAACAGACCCTCGCCTTTTATACGATCGGTCAATGAGCTCCGCGAAAGGAGCTGCAGGATATGTCATCGTGGCATCTTTTAATGACTTACCCGGAGAACAATGAATACAACGATTAGCAATGTTTCTGGGATAATTGTTGCTCTATTAGAATGACACAAGTCTTTGTTTTATTGTGAAAGAACTATGATAATTTGAATGATTTATAAACACATATTGTCAGTCAAAAGAACGGAACGAAAATTTCAAAAATTCTTTTTATGTTCCAGGACTCTGTGGCATCAGCCTCTGAAGTGGGCGAAGAATACGAAGACACCGACGACTCAGACATGTACATGGAACCCGAGACTATGGAAACTCATCAAGAAGATGAAGAAGAAGCTCCTAAAAACTCGACCGAGGAAATACCGCCCGTATCACACGAAGAGATAGACACAGCGATCAATACAACTACCGAGAAACCAGCTTCCAAGGATCAGGAAGCAGAAAACACTAAAGAGACGAGCCAGACTCAGGATTCTGAGGATAAGAGCCTAGAAACTGAGAGTCAAAATTTCTTTCCCTCGTTTGCGGAACTGTTCGCCAATCACAGGCTTCCTTTTACAGAGCAACAGAGGTACAGGCCTAACAGATTCCTGGGATACTTCCAACGCGACAGAAGCGGATACCAAGCGGCAGCAGCGACCTCCAAAGACGTCCATCATCCCATTTTAGGATCAGGTAACTTTGGTGTCATCCGAGGTGGAACTTACTACCCTGAAGACAAGGATGCCGATGAGTATTCAACGGACGACAGTCTCTACAGTCCTTACTATCATGGTGGAAATCGTGGTCGGGCTAATTACTACAGAAACCCGAAACCTCAACCGATTCGTGGGGGAGATTTCTTCGCAAACTTCCGGGACTTTGCTGACATTACAGCCCCACCAAAATCCAGTTTCTCTCATTTGTCTGTTGTTTATGCTAACAAAAATGGAACCGCCACCGGGCGTATCACTGAGCCCAGAAATATTATTGAAACTTTGAAGATGCTTGAACAGGAAGAGCAGAACACTGAGGTGGTCACCACGACAGAAGTGCCAAGGAAGAAGCAGAGTAAAGGAAAGAGGAAGTTGATAAAGATGAAACAGTTTGAAGAGGATAAGGTTAGGAGGTCTCGTATAACGGTGGAGCCTTTGTTAGCACTCAGTTGAACACACGATGAGATTCGAGTTGTATGGTAGTGCGAACGCGAACCTCGGGACCTTTCCCAAACACGAAATCTGGCTACGAGATCGGAATCGAAGTCTGAAATGTGTGATCACCGCTTTTCAGCAGCTTGTGCCAAAAACTGAAAGGAATTGTTATGGAAAAGTCGTTTGAATTTGTTTCCTTTATTTTGGTTTTGAATGTTTAATCCTTTCGTTGCAGGAGATTCCAGCGTGAAACTTGTGGCAATTATATTTTCTGGTAAATTAGGTGAGAATCAGAGGGAGAATGTGGATGCTGCACCTACTTGGAAAAATTAGGGTCCAGAACTTGGAGGAGATGATACTGTTAATTAGGGGGATTCGTTAAATTCGTTTAACAAATTATTGAAATTACTAAATTCACAGGTTACTAATTATTAATTATTAAAATTATCAATTTACTCAGTTATGCATATAGCAGGGGGTCAGTGAGTTTCTATATGTCAATCTAAATTTTTAAGATAATTTTAATTGATGCAAAATTGTACTAAATAAGTTTTCTTGGGTTTTGTTGCAATTGCAATTACAACTGTATCCTTCACATATCTCAATTAATCCACTTAACATACGTTCTGGTTTTCGTGGCAGGTTTGTCCTTTAATGATGCAAATGATTCCAAAACCTGCATTTTTTGACCCTGCTGGATTCGTCGAAGAAGGATCGATAACCTAATATTAAACAAATAATAAAATAACGAGTGATAATCCAAAATCCTTCAAATTCCTGTTATCATTCAGTAGATCATGCGACATTTCGTGTGTAGACTCAAATGATTATCAAGATTCCAGACGATTATGTCAAACTCGTTTATCAGCAATTCACGAACACATTTCAAATTGATTGAATGCACTTGCCCGTGCACTTTCGTTATGCATGAGTAAGCCCCGATCTGGCACGAGTTACTCTCGTACGTACACACTAACGTTAATCTCTGGTGCACGCGATCTCGTGTTGCTATGATTATTTCAAGTGTGAAAACATGAAATTCGCTGGATGCGTTATCAACAGGTGCGAATTAAATCGCAGAGCTTCGATTTCGGGGCCTTCTGTAAATAAATTCCGTTGCTCTGCTTCGTGTTTTCTTTAGTGTTTTAGCTAAAGCGGAACTGGATCAACAATTGCGTCTTCATTCGATTAAGTATTCGTTCGCGAACCTCGTTTCTGCGTCTAAATATGTAGGAATTTATCCACTAAAGAAACATTGAGGAACTTATTATTAATCGTTATTAGAAAAAATTCATGGACACCAATGCTTTGATTTTAAGAAATAAATTTTATTATTTCTTTTTTCTCAATGTTCTAACTATCTTTAGAACAAACTTTCGTTTACCTCTAATTTGAAATTTATTTAATTAAACTGCAATTAAATTCATTACAAATATAAGACTGGAAAGACTTTGTAACAAAAATATTACTCTTTGTTTCTTCGATGGATACGTATCTCAAGATCAATCGTAGATAAGTATATTTTTAAGTGCAGAATGTCTGGCTACGTTCATTAAATTCACGAAGACTGTTCATTTATATTAATCATTATCGGCTTAAAGTTGAATTATTCATCTCTTTTCATCAATTAAACCAACGCTTTCACATGAAACACTTCATTTTTATTCAGCTTTGTGAGTATTATTTTATAAAAACACCTTTGGAACGCTTTCTTCTTTCTTCTTTAACTATGAAACGTTTGGATCTTGATTATTATAAAAGACCTTTTAAAGTTAAAATACAACCCTAACTTTTATATGGATATTACAACAAAAGTTTAGTTTGCGTTTCATAGAGGGAAAAGGTGTCGTATTGTTATTATAATTGTTGTTGATTATTTTAAGCATATCAATAGACATAAGGATTCATCATAACAGTCCACTGGAATGATCGTGTCTTGTACTGTTCACTTCTCTGTAAGGGACGCGACAAATGATCGAAATGAAATATATTTTTCATAAATCACGGATCTAAAGATCTTCTATAATTTATTTAACACTATAACAAAAGTGTGAAATTTTATAAAATTCGTAGTTTTGAAAAATATCCATATTTTACAGTAAATTTTTAATCAGTATCAGATCACTATTCTACTTCATAGAAATTTTCAAATATTCTTAAAAGAAAAACTGAGATGGATATTTCATTATTTTTATATTAGAGCACAATAAATACATATGTATACATAATTTGTAATAAAATTTGGCAACATATATTGAAGAAAAATAATACTTTACGTTATACGTTACAAATTCATTAAAAATGACAAGTGCCATACTCAGAGGCAATGTATGTCATTTTTTTTATGTCCAAATAACATAAGTCATGTTTGAATGCCTTTCTTCAACATTGTGATTAATTTTCCTATGCCGGCATGTACATCTGCATAAGATGCAGTATGATTCATCCAAGCTGGCGTGCTTAGAACATTGTGAGTTTTGCATCGAGTTACTCCTTTCACGCATTTTAATTCAACTTTGGCTCCCATGTCCCGGGCTTTTTTAATAGCATCCGCATATGGCCAATCCGATGCAGGTTCTAAACATGAATAAAAATTGTATCAACATTACTGAAATGGAGAGAGCCCCAAATTCAATTTAATTTTCTGTTCCTTTATGTTTTGTAAATGTGGGTCACGATTACCCAACGTTTCGCTATTCAAAGGATAGCATTTTCGTAGACATTTCTTGAGTAACTTACTCTCTCGTCCCAGTGTTATTTTACATCCTTTTAACACTCTTGCAACTAGGATACCTGCAATACACATTGTTGCAATTGGTTTTTTTGCGCAATAAAAATCTTCGATGAGTTTCTCCAAATCCGGAAGAACAGTACATTCCGAGCCCTTTTCAGCAAAATCACTCCTGTAAAATGACGAGAAATATTTTGACAGAGTCAGCTTTGACGTGCAATTATATTTTCATTATACATCCTTCGCAAGTGATAATTTTCTATCACAAAAAATTTCAAGCATATTTTTCACAGAATTTACGAATATCATTCTGAACCTTTTAATTAAATTTCATTTTATTTCTTTGCAAATTGTAATGTGGGGCAGTTGATAAAAAGAAATAGTAAGATATGATTAATATTTCACAAGATTTTTATAATGCTACTAAATGATATATTACAAATGTGAATTATTGCACCCTGAAATAATTCATATAACCAAACCAGTGATTATTTTATTGTTAAAATGACCACTCCCTTTCTGGTATAAACACTGTGAAAGGAAGGTTTGTGCATTTTAACCTTGATTCCACTATAACGAATTATAGTTCATTAATCAAGAACATTTTTACATTCACAAGGTGGTGCAATAAATTTCAAACAAAAATACCTTTATTTCAATCATTAATTCAAACACAAATAGTAGCATTATTTAAATAAGGGACAAGCCTAAATAAAATACCCCTGATCCTTCTAATCCAAAGAAGTGCCAAATAAAAAATTTAACAGAAATAATAAAAAATTTAGTGAGATTCTTCTATATAATCGAAACCATGAAGTTATTATTATTATAATCTTCACACTGATCTGAATACTAACAGAGTCTTGGTAACACCAAAACCTCCTGGAAGTACGAGTGCTTTGTGCATACATGCCTCACATTCGCACAATGGTTGTATAGAAGATCTAGCCAGTCTGGCAGCTTCAATTAAACCATTTCTGGGTCGGCTATCTGAGTCTACTTCCTTGGTACAGTGATTGACAATTTCACAAATATCTACATCCGGGGCATAGAAACGTGGTGTCATACCCTTCTGGCAAATATGTATCGTGGAGGAAATAGCTTCTGAAATTTCGGTACCATCGTAAACTCCACAGCCACATAATACCTAGAAAATTTCGTACAGTGCTTTTGTATACATTCAAGAGCAAATTTTCATATTAATTTAATATTTTAGCTTTTTTTTTATATTCACATAAATAATTCCTATCTCATAGCATAACTCATATTTTTCTTATACAACGTGAATTATAATTTCAATTTTCAAATATGTTAAACATTGTACAATTTATAGCTTCCTGCTCGGTAACCGTCTACCGTTTACGAGTCAATAATTTAACAGAATATACCTTAAAAAGCATTTTCTACCAGGAAATGATATACAGAAGTTAGGAGAAATGATCAAGAATTTAATAGTTTTATTATTTCATTCGCTAATGATGCACGCTGTTTTTACATGGAGCTATAACTTGCGTTACAGTTACATACTTTTGAAGAAACAAATCGGTATACGTTTTCGCTCTGTAGAAAAAGAACATTAGAACACGTTTACAGAAGAGCTATTACGGTGAGTAATATTTCAACTGGAAATCATTTATATTTGAATGAGTTAATAAGGAAATAACTTGAACCTCGGTTAAATTTTCGCATACAGAAGTAAAACGGTGCGCGTACAAGAATTATGACGGATCAAGGAAGCTTGTTAATGTAAAGATGCTATTAAGAAATGAATAACATAATGATAGAAATGTTTCATACGTTTTCTCATTAAGGAAAATGAGACTCGATTAGAGAAAAAAGTGGGGTGATAAATAACTTATGGTTATATAAGTACTCCCAAGTTACATCTGAATTACTTCGTTCCAATTTAAAATCTCCTTTTTAAACTTCTTTCCATGCATAATTTTTTCTTATAATTTTTTGAAAAATATTTTTCTAAATAAATTTTGTAAATGCTTGATATAAAATAATTTCATTTTAATTACATCAATACTGTACAGTTTACAATACGTGTACTTACGATAGCTACAGGTATAGATTGGCGTTCGCACTTTTTCCTTCCCTGTTTGCATTTTCGGTTAAGAATTTGAGACGTATTAAAGCTTGACGATAAAATGGACTTATATACGCAAGGTTCATTTTGCAGCAATGATGTAATTCCTGCACGTAACATGGTATAAAATATTGTGCAAATTTGTAGGATAAAGTTTCACTTGAAAATTTATATCTTGGTTAGGATTAAATTTGACAAATAATTTTAGATGTTACATTCTTTCATTTTTCTTTTCAAGTTACTCACTTGTTTCTTTTAATGAATAACATTAAAAATGTACTTTTTCAATCCTCGGATTGCGGACCATCGAGACAAAGACAATTTATATTTAATTTTATATTTTATATTACTTTCATTTTTTAAAATTTATACTATTCCTTTGAATATAATTTTTCTAATACATGGAACTCTTTCTTTTTTAATTTTCTGCACTTAATTATAGTGGACATATTTTTGTATTTTATACCATGTTTTATAGGTCTGGGTCAATTCAATTTGAATTTGAACAATTTGATTTTCAAATTCCACTGCGATATTATCGATATGTGTATCGATTTATCGACAGTATTTAGATATCAAAGTCTCTACTTCCAGTTGTTTACAACAGAGGACAGCATTGTTAGGAAATTACATACAGCGCCCTCGATAGAATTCATACAAACTACTTTTAAATTACTGTTGCTGGGTCGACAAATTCATTCTCTGACGTTATTTTGGTTTGAAACTGTGCTAAAGGGGTGAAAGTCAAAAGAAAAGTGTCGTAATGGGATAGAAGAAGGGTGAAGAGGTAAAAGGAAAAAGGAAAGGAAGGGGGGAAAGTTCGAAGCATCTCCTGTGCTTAAATAAACATTGGTAAGGTAGGCTGAACTTATTTTATGGCTCGTATAACCGTTATTGTGCTCTAGAAGCAATTTTCGCTCAGTCTATGAATACGAAACACATAATGGGGTGCGGTGGAAAGATTTAACAACACCATGAGAAAGAATATAGCATGTAATAATAAATTCAGCCAAGCTCATTGAAACATACAAATCCTTTGTGAAAAGGGTTTCTAGGTCAATATATAAATGGACCGTGGAAATTTATTCAAATATGCAACAAGATTCAATAATGCTTACCCCTTCAATTATTTTAAAAATTATGATATCAGAAAAATATTTTTCAGAAATAAAAATTCTTTGGACCGTAGAAACATAAATTGCTTCTGCAAAACGATTTTGTGATGAAATGTTTGAAAAAAAAAAATCATGACATCTTGACACATTTTAATTGTGACAATGAACGTGTTAAAACAGTTCAATCAAAACGGTATCCCTTTCACCCTAAAGCCAGTAGTGGCACAATCTCAGCTTATTCTAATTATCAGTCGAAGACGACCACACCCCCGAGTGTCGTTTCGTTGGCCCGCCATCACGTTGCTTCCCTTTTCTATGAGACGTACGAAAGCTTACGCATAATCTTATGTAAATCCTCTGCTACCCTTATGCCTGTACGTTGTTCCATATAGGAAGAGCAACTTACGCGGGTTGGCTCTCGGGTTTCACAGGGAAAGGGATGCTTAGGCGACGGTTCGTCGATGTTGCACGGGGCTAGGGCGCAGGGCTTGTATGAATGTTAAAATAAGTTTGAAATTGTCGCGGACAAGTTCGGCCCCGTGGGAGGTAGCCGTCGAGTAATTCTACTGTGCCGGCGGTTTCGGCCCTTCGGCAAGTTTGCGACCAACCGCGAATTCCTGCCAACTTCTACGCTTCTACATTTTCGACTTGACTCCCCTATTACCAGTTTCCTGTTAATAATGTGCCGTTAACCCGTTAAGAATCACATTTTGATTTAATTTAGTTTATAGATTAACGTTTATATTAAATATTGGTAACAGTAAAATATCGCTGTATATGTTTCTACATATATCTACGTGCTAAGGGACATTTTGAAAACAGTATGCTGCGTGTCAAGCAAGTTGCGGTACTCGGGAATCGCTTACTTTACGTTCGTATAGGTATCGGAAAACCTGATAGGTAGATCGGATAGTCGGCGTAAGAAAGTTTGCAGCATTGCGAATTGGTAAAGCAGGCTGCTTATGTATTCTTGGCGCGAAGGCAATCGCGGGGATGGCAAATGTTGGCAGGGGTTGGATGCCGTTGCGAGAACCAGACAAGAGAACAATTACGCGCCGTCAGCCGCGTGACCGGTAAAATGCCATGAGGTGAATCAAAACTAGGTGTGCCATCACCCTTGGGCCAGCTCTATCTTTGTGCACCGAGGCCACGTTTCTTGGTCCCGATGGGAAAAGATCGAATCTCGATCGGTAAGCGAACTTGGCAGCCTCGACGAATGCTCTGCAGGACCAATTTATACGAATTGAACACTTGTCAGTGGCTGAGTTTACGCGTTTCTCTTATCGTTTCGATCTTTTCTCAAAAAAACGTGTCATTGATTCACTGAGCCATTATAAAATTTCGTTTTATTACGTTTATTGTTTGTACTTCTCAATTTCATAAATTGCCATTGCATAAATACACATAATTTTATTTTGTGAACTAATTTAATTAAAAAATTTTAATTCAATTAAATTTCAATAAAAATGTTAAAGAAAATTAAATTACAAATACGTAACTTCGATCGTCAAAGTGTTAATGTATATTTCTATAAGACATTTCGAATCTAGCAGATGGACAAAGGGTGACACGGCTCACCAACCAGTCGACGAGACTTTTAGAACTTGACAAACGATCGTTCTCTCCCTTCGTGTCCTCCCTCGAAATTCGTGTAGGTATCATTCGAAATAAAAGTATCGATACGGTCGACGCGTTATTAATGATTGACAGACTCGTCCTGGATTTTCGCCAACGAGTTCGTCCTTCCCCTTTCTATCCGATACTCGACTGAGAAACGTTTCTCTGCGCCGAGATTCACAGTCAGATCCGCGTAATTCCGCGCGATAGCAATCATATCGCGGCTAGATAATTGGCAGAGAACCGACAATCGTCGTAATTTCCGGTTCCCGGTGCGGAAATTCTGACGCGTGACACGCGACGGATCGACGCTCCTGGGAGGCACCTCATTCAATTAGCTACTCAGTTACTCGCATCACATCGCATTTACCCACCTCTCTCTCCCTCTTTCACCCCCCTCTGGTATTCGGCTAACTCACCGACGACCCCTCCGAAATCGTCTGTACCGTTCCACATAGGCTGCCTTCACCGCCAAACTCGTGATTTAAACTTTTCGGAGAAGCTCCACCGACGATCTTCCCTTTCTCCGGATACGCGCATGCCAGGCTGAATGTCACCGGCTTGTCATTCGATAACACGGCTTTAGTTCGGCCGTCATGTCAACCGCGTCCCCGTAAACTTCCTGTAAGTTTGTTTCCGTGTCTGTTGCCAGCACCGCTGAAACTCTGGCATCTTGGCTGCGGAATGACAGTGACGATTATTATCCGCACCACTTCCTTCGGGCTTGCTGAAACATTCAGTTCCGATAACGTGTCCCAGTTAAAGCATTTTATGTGAAAACGAAGCAATTGATTAAGTTTCTATCAGAAGGGTGGGTGTTAAAATACTTTCACATAAGAAAAGGAAAGAAATTTAATTCCAACCACGTGATAAAAGAAAAGAGCAACGTGTAGTTGGTTTAACCGAAAGTAATACAGAAGATGTGAAACATTCAAAGGCGTTTCTGTCAAGATTGTTGAAAGCAAATTTAAATTCCTTATTTCTTTTTTCTTTTTTTTCGGTAGGGTGCGAGGCTTAATACCAAAGTGGCGGTGCAAACCGTTTTATGCTTCCGCTTTATGCCGACCGACCCCTTCTTTCCTTGGCGAACGAGACCTCTTTATTTATTCATTTATTCCGGCGAGATGAACTTTACGGAGATTTTAATAGCACCCTGACTTCCTTGAAACTCTCGGGCAAAAGCAGACATTTTAGATTTAGGAACGCGTGATATACGCGGACCGCGAAACAAATCCCGTGGAAAACGGTTTTAGACGGCCGGAGACGTTTGCTGGATGCAAGGATCCGCTAGGGAGGAATATTGTGTGAACTCGTTTCGCAGAATTAATTACTCAGACCTTCGGAGTAAAGTATAGCTCGTGATTGTGCCGCGAACCTGTAACGGCAAACGTCGTCGTAACGTATGCCACTATTTAACAGCTGTCATGGTTTCTGCCTGAAGATAATTCTCTGGGGAATTATAGTAAACTCTTGATTTTCGAAACTATTAGAGAGACAAAGCTGTTCAATTAATTTAAGTTCATTAATTAAAATTAAAAAATTATATCTTGCTTCAGGTCACTGACCGATAAATTGCACTTGACGCGGAAAGACGGTCTGACCATAAAGCACTTATACTACTTGATCGAGCCCAGTCTTGGGATTTCGTTTCAACTAAATTGAATATATTTAATTTTAATTAATAAATTTACTACTCTAATAATTTAGGTAATAGAAAAATTGATATGAAAACATTTGCTGTTCTCTTGTAACTGTAATAATCTCGTAAATTTTTTCATTTTCATTGAACGTTCATGGAATCGTTCATCTTCGTCCGAATCGTTCCTGTTGGCAATATTTAATTATTAAAAAGCGTTAAGCGTACAAAGAGCGAAAAATTATGGAACCAGGTCCCACGGTCGACGATAATTCTACCTTGAAGATTGTACCAGGGAGAAAGAGTCGGTCGTTGCAGAACGCGAACAACTAGCGAGCCTCGAGAATTCGAGACGACTTTCGTTGTGAGGGAGTTTTATTGTATTTTTTTCATTAACAAGTCCGTGCCGATCTCAGGGGAGCGGAAAAGTTGGCAGCGAGTTTTAGCTAGACTTTTGTTAATGTTCGGAATTAACGGAGTAAGGAGACTTTAAGTCATAAGGCCCCGTGGGAGCACGGGGTTCGACGCGAACTTTCACGATTCTTTATTTCTTTATCAACTCCGACCCCTGGTTCCACCTCCGTCTCACGGAATGCTCGCCAACCCGACCAACCATTTCTTCTCGCTGCGCCAGCACTCTATAATTACTTTGTTCGGCACAATTCTTTTATTTTCTTTCCCTTTTAACTCGGCGACATCGCCACCGAGCGAAACCCTTGCACTTCCAAAGCGGCCCTTTCCTTCTTTCGTCAGGGCATCTTTAGATCAGCAAGTTATGGTGTCAGTATTTATTTGCATATTTGATTTTTTCTGCAGAAAGAATAATTGTGTGAATTAAAGTATTCTTCTGTCAAGTCAACATTTTCTGATAGATTATTT